GATGGTGTCTCATTGTGGCTTTGATTTGCATTTCTCTAATGAACAGTGATGATGAGCTTTTTTCATATGTTTGTTGGCTGCATAATTGTCTTCTTTGGAGAAGTGTCTGTTCATATTCTTTGCCCACTTTTTGATGTGGTTGTTTTTTTTCCTGTAAATTTGTTTAAGTTCTTTGTAGATTCTGGACATTAGCCCTTTGTCAGATGGATAGATGGCAAAAATTTCCCCCCATTCTGTAGGTTGCCTGTTCACTCTGATGATGGTTTCTTTTGCTGTGCAGAAACTCTTTAGTTTAATTAGATCCCATTTGTCAATGTTGGCTTTTGTTGCATTGCTTTTGGTGTTTTAGTCATAAAGTCTTTGCCCAAGCCTGTGTCCTGGGTGGTACTGCCTAGGTTTTCTTCTAGGGTTTTTATGGTTTTAGGTTTTACATTTAAGTCTTTAATCCATTGTCTTTCTTACTCATACTTTTCAGTTTCCTTTTTTCCATGTACAGAAAATGAAACATTTATTGTGAAGCTTTTAGGTCCAAGAAACTCTATCTGTTTTTGTTTTATTAAGGAAAGGACTGATGATCTTGGCATAGAGCAAGTCCAATAGGATTTTAAGAGATCTTATCTTAACGGCAAAGCACTGGAAGTCTTCAATGACTTCCACGTCCAGTAAAACGTGTCTCTGAGGTTATATTGTTCACAAAGCTGCTTCAGTTTTTGCCAACCGTCCACCCTGAATTTGATCTCTTTGACTGAGTTCTGCTGTCAGATACTTCCCCTAGGGACCTGTTCCGGGGATGCACTTCATTGCTGTTTTGGCAATGTCATTTCAGCTTTTTCATCCTCCTGAGTGATGAGAGAAGGTCCAGCCAGCCCTTCCAGCACCTTTACAAGCCATTCATGTGTTGAATGGAGTCTCACTTAACCACTGAACAATTAGCATGTCTTTCTCTACTCAGATCCATTTATTCACCAGTGCTCCATAGAGGTACTGTGTGCATAGTTTTTGGTTTTGAAGGTGGGGAACTTCTGTTCCAACATGCACATACAGAATAATAAATTTGATGTCTTGGTCACACACTTCAGCTAAAATCAGAATTTTATTCAGTCTAGACAAGATTAATAAGATGTATAACCTCTTGCTTGTTGCTGTGCTAACTGACATAGCTGATGGTTTGAATAATTTAAGCCAATCCTACAGACTGTTATGACTGTAGCATGTATCTGTGAGGAGCTGACCCCAGGTGCAGGATAGTGTTCATGCAGATGAGTGTGTCTGTAAGTGCAGTGTGGGGGACGCATCTCTGCCCTGTGCATAACTCAGTTTCAATACCAGCTGCTGCCACCTTGAGCTGGTTTCCGGCAGGATTAGTCTTTGAGATGGGCCCTGAAGGACAGGGTGGGATGAATACTCAGGGAATCAAGGCAGAGGCTACTTTGGGAGTGTGAATGTCATGCTGCTGGGTCCTGGAAGAGTTTGAAGCATGGTGTCAATTATTAGAGGTGTTTTAAGAAGATCTTTAGAGAGTGGTGTTTGGGATCAGTTTGGTTGTGTTGGGGATGCTGGAGAAGGGACCAGTGAAAAAGTTGTATCAGTATCACACATGATTAGCAGTCAGTAAACTTGTGAAATTGGTCATTTCTTTTCGTTTTATTTTGTTTTGCGATAGGGTCTTGCTCTGTTGCCCAGGATGGAGTGCAGTGGTGCGATCTCAGCTCACTGCAACCGCCGCCTCCTGGGTTCAAGCAATTCTCATACCTCAGCCTCCCATGTAGCTTGGACTACAGGCGTGTGCCATCAAGTCCAGTTAAGGTTTGGATTTTTAGTAAAGACGGGGGTTTGCCATGTTGACCAGGCCGGTCTCAAACTCCTGACCTCAAGTGATCTGCCTGCCTTGGTCTCTGAAAGTGCTGGGATTATAGGCGTGAGCCACCATGCCTGGCCTAGTTGGGTCATTTCTTGAGATATGGTGACTTGTGACAGATTAGGCCCAGATCGTTATCTGGTTAACCATGGAATAGGTGGTGTGGAGGGAGGAAGCAGAGATGCTGTGGTGAAGCCTGCAGCAGAATCTTCGGGCCAGCAATTGTCTGTGCCCTCTCTGCTGTGCCAGACATGGGCTTCTGCAGTGAGAACTAGCAGTGTCCGATCCTTAATAGGCTCTCAGTATGGCTGGTGGGTGGATAGCGAGGGAGCGGATGAACAGACAGCATCTTCTGCTTGCAGTGTCTTTGAGAGAAACACTGACTTTTTTTCTTTTCCTATATAGAAGAAAGGAATGTATTTTTCTTTTCCTGCATAGAAGAAAGTTTTCATTTTCAGTTTTTGTTCTTTTGAAGTGTAACATTGCAGTAAAAAATGTGTAGCCCTGTGAAGTCACAGATAAAAATTTTAAGGACTCAAAGGATGTTGACAATTTTCAACATCCTTTGAGTCCTTAAATGGATGATTTATTTAAGTGTTTTTTTTAAGTGGATGATTTATTTAAGTGTTTTTTCTCTAAAACATGTTCCATGCTCATTTCAGTTGCTTCAGAGTTGCCAGTGGTTTGCAAAACATCCATGTAACAGCCATTTACACACGTGGTTTATTTTCTCATGCAAAATCCTCCTAAGTTTCCATATGAGTTTGCGAGGGCTGCTGGAACAAAGTACCACAAACACAGTGGCTGAAAACAAGGGAAATTGAGTCTCTCTCTTCTTTTCTTAGAGAAATACTGATCATGTTAGGTTTAGGGCCCTCCCTATTCCAGTATAACTGCATTTTAATTAATTACATCTGTAACGGTTCCATTTCCAAATGTCACCTTTGAGGTACTGAGATTATGACTTTATCTTTTTGGGGGGTGTCTTAGTCTGTGATGAATACACATAAATTACACGTTGGGTAACTTTTGAAAAACAGAAATTCCCACAGCTCTGGAGGCTGAGAAGTCCAAGATCAAGGCACTGGCAGGTTCGGTTTTCTGGTGACCTGCACTCTGCTTGTAAGGTGGTGCCTTGATGCTGCATATTCCAGACGGGAGGAATGCTGTGTCCTTATAGGGCAGAAGGCGGAAGGGCTAGAGGGCTGCCTCCTGCCTGCAGCCTCCTTTACAGGGTCCTTAATGCCATTCATGTGGGAGGAGCCCTCATGGCCTAAATACCTCTTACTACCACCACAGTGGCCACTAAGTTTCAACATGTGGATTTTGGAGGGGAAGCTGTCCAGGCAGCTTCCAAGGCCTGAACGTTGGGGTATAGGAAGTTTCCTGGACCTCGTCTCTTTCCACTGGGCTGAACTTAAGTCACATGGCTACCTCTGGCTACACTGGGGGCTGGGAAGCATGGTCCTTATTCCAGGCTGCTATGCATTGGCTAAAAATTGGGAGTTTTGTTAACTACAGAAAACTGAGAGCAGATTTTGAGGAGAGCTGACCACTTTTGCCACATCTACAAAATTTTGGATGGGGTGGGGGTGATGTAGGTGGTTTATTCTGTTTCTAAACCACTGTAGCTTCTCTCATTGAATGATACGTACCATATGAGGGGCAGAAGGGAGTTCCCTATATATCATTATGTTAGGTTTGCTATGGTTAGCAGGACTTTCTTGTTTTTTTTTTTTTTTGTTGAGACGGAGTTTCGCTCTTGTTACCCAGGCTGGAGTGCAATGGTGCAATCTCGGCTCACCACAACCTCCACCTCCCAGGTTCAGGCAATTCTCCTGCCTCAGCCTCCTGAGTAGCTGGGATTACAGGCACGCGCCACCATGCCCAGCTAATTTTTGTATTTTTAGTAGAGACATAGGGTTCCACCATGTTGACCAGGATGGTCTTGATCTCTTTACCTTGTGATCCACCCGCCTCGGCCTCCCAAAGCGCTGCGATTACAGGCTTGAGCCACCGCACCTGGCCAACTTTGTTTTATTCAGTTAAGTTGCCTTGTATAGTTGCTAACTAGTGTGGAAAACAGCAGGAAGTGAAAGGTTGCGCTATTCCTGCTGTCAAGGAGGGGATACTGACTAAGGAAAAAAGATAAGTGTAGGTCGAGCACGGTGCCTCACACCTCAGCACTCTGGGAGGCCGAGGTGGGCAGACTGTTTGAGGCCAGGAGTTTGAGACCAGCCTGACCAACATGGTGAAAACCCATCTCTACTAAAAATACAAAAAATTAGCCAGGCATGGTGGCAGGTGCCTGTAATCCCAGTTACTGGGGAGGTTGAGGCAGGACAATCACTTGAACCCAAGGCAGAGGCAGAGGTCACAGTGAGCCGAGATTGTGCTACTGCACTCCAGCCTGGAAGACAGAGTGAGACTCTGTCTCAAAAAAAAAAAAAAAAAGTGATTGTGAAAAGAAGCTTATAAAATATGTTTTAAGAGCTAGAAATGAAATGAGGGCTTTTTTATTTTTAGTTTTAGTTTTTAGAACAGTGACTTAAGTGACAGTGAATAAGTTATATGTCAATTTGACACGCACGAGGGAGGAGAAAGGCCAGTTGAATCTAAGTGACCAGCCCGAGTGAGGGCTGCTTTCACAGGCTCTGCCCTGTGTTTCCTGCCTACCCTTCTGGGCTAACTCACTTCCTGAAAGCTGGGAATGGCCTCAACATCCGTGTTGCCAGCATCCAGCACGGGGCTTGGCACATGATGAGGATTCATGAAATATTCATCAGAGCGCTTCCAGGCAACTCCCATGTTCACCGTTAGTAACACAAAAGTCCAGCAGTGGAAATGTGCAATCTCTAAATGTGCTCAACCTCAAAGCAGTATTTTCTGTTTGTTTAGGAACCAGTATACTTGTTGAAAAGAAAAGACACAGATAGTTCCTAAAATTATAAAGATGGTTCATGGCCACAAACTCTTTATATGTTTATTAAAGAAATAGCATATGCTGATGTGAACCGATACTTTAAATACGGTTGGCAAAATGATCTGTAGGCTGCATAAAGTTTCGTGTTGCAGATTCCGTGGAAGTGATGACTCTTGTTTCTGTAATTTAAACGGTCTGTGTTTTTCTTACTCTCTTTAGAACTTTTTGCTGCTTGATGAGATATCACAGCGCAACCGTCAGCTGCCGTCAGATGGTAAAAACATGGTGCATGTGCAGGATTTTACTGCCTTTTGGGATAAGGTAACATATTTTTAATTGCGAGATCATGACTGCGAATACATAATGAGTGACATTGGTTTAATAGAGAACTTTGAGATGTTACACGTGGTATAAAAATATGGCTTGCTCATTTACTGAAAGTATGTTACAAAGATTCTCAAAATTAGGAGTAAGTTTGGCAATAAATAGAAAGTAGGTATGAAATCAGACTTAGGGATTTGACAATTTGTATTTTATCTCATTTTCTTTCTTTTTGTTGAGATGGAGTCTTGCTCTGCTGCCCAGGCTGGAGTACAGTGGCGTGATCTTGGCTCACTGCAACCTCTGCCTCCCTGGTTCAAGCGATTCTCCTGCCTCAGTCTCCCAAGTAGCTGGGATTACAGGCACCTGCCACCATACCCGGGTAATTTTTGTATTTTTAGTAGGGACAGGGTTTCACCATGTTGGCCAGGCTGGTCTCGAACTCCTGACCTCAGGCAATCGGCCCGCCTCAGCCTCCCAAAGTGCTGGGATTATAGGTGTGAACCACCATGCCCAGCTGTATTTTATCTCATTTTTGAAAAAACCCATTGAAAGCATTACCTCATTCTAACCTAAATGTCACTAAGTTTAGACATTGGCAATACTGGATTTCATAGGATTAGACAGACTGGGGTGCAGCATGGAATGGGTTAACTACTGAGTACGTTGTAAATTAATAGAGACTGGGGTATCAGTGCACGTTTTCACCTTACTGTTTGCAGGTCATCTTATTACATATTGAAAAAGCCCACGACTTGGATTTTGCCACAGGGTTGGGGTGGGGCTTCCCTGTTCTAAGCATCTGGGTGGTACCAGCTGCTTTGGTGGCAGCCTAAGGCAGAGGGCTAGCTGCAGGCTGCCCAGGCAAGCTCTGTGGATTCCTGATTGAAGAGTTTCACCATGTGGCAAGCAGACAGGTAGTTCAGGCAAGGCTACAGGGATTTTTCAACACTTGGTTTACTTTTGACATTTAGGCAAATAGAAACAGCAGCAGGGACCACCCACAGGAAGTACTAAGGCTCGGTGTATCTCCTGCTATCCACAACTCCAGTGCCCTCCTCATGCTTCCAAGGAAGCAGTGGGCTCCCTGCCCAGTGCTCATAGAGGCCACTGCTGTGGCTCCGGCTTTTCAGGAAAAGAAAGGCTGTATTATAAGTTGCCTGGCAAGGAGACAGGAGGCAATGCTCAAATTTGTCTTCCCTAGCTGGGGGATGGGGCAGGTTTTATGGGCAGAGGGTAATGAGGCGTGGTCCGCTTGGATCTTGCAGTGAAGTGATGCCAGCACTGGATCTGATCAGATTCTGGATCATGCCATGAGGCATCTGCCTGTGAACTCGCTCCTCCTTCTTTGGTCCTAGCACTCAGGTTCTGCCCATGGTTGCATATTCAGTTCATTTGGGAATGCTCAGACGATGTACCTTGCAACCTGGGATCCATGGCAACTGAGAAACAGTTCCTGTTATTGGGCTGGTTCTGTGGTTATGCTCACCTGAGTCCATAGTCCTCTGTGAATCCGCTTGTCTCAGTCTGTGTTAGACTGGAAAACAGAACAGCATGGGAGATGGAATATTGTGCAGGGAATTCATTACAGAGGTGATGAAAGAACCAACACAGAGGGAAAGCAGCAGTGGAGGAGGCCACCCCGAGATCAGCCATGGCAGGAAGCTACACACTGGGGCCAGAGATGATGCCTGCCAGGAGCAAAGCCCAGAGACCTGACTGTGAGCAAGAATTGGGACCAGAGGGCCAGGGGCTCTTCCAATGGCGCAGGGACTGCTCAGGCTGCTTAAAGCAGGTGGGCGGTGCTGGTGGTGAGCAGATCCTCTCCTCTCTGGTGCTTTTGTGGCTGATGTTTGTGACTGAGTTATAGTGTAGTTTGCTGGAGCCAAGAGCCAATAGGTGGTTGAGCAGCTCCCGCCCAGCCCCATCACGTCTGCCATCTCCTGTGGTACCAATGTCAACACTCTCTAGACTCCAGACTTTCTTTCTCCACATGCCCTTGGCTCTAAGTATCGCCCTCCCTGTTTCATGTGCGCCTAATTCTGATGTAATTTCTGCCATCTCTAGCAACAAAACAATGTGTTCCCAAATATATAGAACACCATTGCATCTTGTGCACCACCTGACCTTACTGTTTCTCCTTACCTGTTGCCATTCCCACCCTAATACATTTCATTCATTCATTCCAGAGACAGTGTCTCGCTCTGTTGCCCAGACTGGAGTGGCACACTGCAACCTTCACCTCCCAGGTTCAAGCAATTCTCTTGCCTCAACCACCCGAGTACCTGGGATTACAGGCATGCTCCACCACGCCTGGCTAATTTTTGTATTTTTAGTAGACACGGGGTTTCTGCCATGTTGGCCAGGCTAGTTTTGAATTTCTGGCCTCAAGTGATCCGCCCACCTTGACCTCCCAAAGTGCTGGGATTACAGGCATGAGCCACCGTTCCCAGCTCTAATATACTTTAAGCATTGACAGAAAGCTCTATGAACATCCATTAGAAAAAAGCACTGGGAGTGAATGCTGTTGAATTAGAGGCAGGCACTGAGGTCCCATTTGCAAATTTGTTTTGTACCAAACTCTGCAACATTGTAAAATGGGCTGTTTTGTTGTTTTTCGTTTCTTAGACAATGTTGACAGTTGCACTGTAAAGAGCACACTCCATCCTGTTTTCTGGGCCTTGTCTCCGGGTGATTATGCCCCATACTGCCAGGGATTATTACGGGGGTCATGTGGGTGAGAGCGCTTGGGTGGGAGGAGGGGCACAGACACTGGGGCTTTTGGGGAGACGCTGCGGAGGAAAGAGGGTGTGCAGGGCTGGGATTTAGGAGAAAGACAGTCCCCAGCAGCAGCCCTGCTGGACAGACCAGTTACTATTGGAGGGAAGGTCTTCCCACCAGCCTAGGTCTCATTTATAAAACAAATGGGCTTGGGCAGAGTCTCTAATCTGTAAAGTCTGTGGCCCTGTGGGAGCCTGTGACTCTCTGTGGGGCAGGGATTTGCTTCTGCTTTCTTCACGGCTCTGTCCCAGGGTTCAGTGTAGGGTTCAGTCCAGAGTTGGGGCTCAGTCCGCCTGCCTCAGTGTCTGGAAGGGGCCCAGCCTCCCGATCTGTCGAGTGCTGCCCCCTTCTGGCTGCAGTGCACCAGTGCTGGGTCCCGGGCATCCCGGTGGGGCAGAAACCTGCTCTAAAGAGAACCCGGGCCGTGATGGGAAGCTGGGTTTTTTGCATGTGGCTCACTCTTTTGCAGTCAAAACTGAGTAAAAACAGGTAAAGTTAGAAATATTTGTTAGGAAAGAGACATACCGCAAAGGAGGGGGAAGGGACAGGTTGACCAGCTGTGTTTTTTGTGTCCTTTATAGTCATAGAAATAAACAAGTAGGTTTCAGTTGTCTTAAAAGACAAATGTTGCTTAATCAAGAATACAGAGTAGACCTTTTACATTTTAGAGGAAGAGCACCAAGTCAAGAAGACTTTGAAAATTTGTGACAAGTTTGCACTTACAAAATCATGTAAATGTCACATTTTGTTTAACATTATTTTTCCAAGTGCTTAGGTAATAATGTATTACTTTTTTAAAAAAGAAATTGTTGTAGGCCTGTAGGAAGGAGTAGAGAAAGAAAAACAGAAAGAGGTTCTCACATATGAAAAACCTGCCTCTTCAGAAGAATTGCCTGAACCCAGGAGGCGGAGGTTGCGGTGAGCCGAGATCGCGCCCTAGCACTCCAGCCTGGGTAACAAGAGCGAAACTCCGTCTCAAAAAAAAAAAAAAGAAAAGAAAAACCTGCCTTTTGTGGATGACTTTTAAATAATTCCTATGAAATCTGGCGCTAGTTTCTTTGTGCTAAAAGGTGATCATGATTGTTTTGGTTTGCGCCTATCCTATAATGTGGTATGGGACACATTTTATAAGGAGTCAGTTTACATACACACACATTGTGGTCTTTGACCATTTATAGAAATATTTGGGATTATTTGGGTATGTGACCGTTAAGTCGTTTCCAGATAAATGTTTCCTTTTGAAGGTTATCTTGATCTGTTACTCCCCTGCTGTGCTTTCTGTCTTTTGGGCATTTTACTAATCACACATGCCCGCTTAAGACATGGAGGGGGGTTGATGGAGGGGGATTGATGAGTACCTGTTTGTGGGCTGGGCCAGCTCAGTGTCCTTAGGTTTTGGGTTGGTTGGGTTCATGTGTGCTTCCCTCTACCATCGTCCCAGGGTGTTCCGCCCTTCAGGGATGCTGGATTCATTTTCAAAGAATCCTTTTCTAAGTTGAGGAGGCTGCATTGCCTTTGATTCACTCTTGATCATTTTTCTATGATGTGGATGAGCATTTACCAAAGCGTGTTGTGTGGAGGAAAAGCCCCTTCTGAAAGGACTTGAGACTCAGATAAATTTGCTAAATGCCCACCCACCAGACATGCATGGTCAGGTCCCTCCAATCTATCCGTGGGAAATTCAGATGAAGATGATCAATATGAGAGTTCAATCACTTTGGGTTTCCTCCCGGATTGTAGCTGTTTGTACTTCACTTAGCGGTATCAAGTTTTGTCTGATAGTGTTGATGTCTGGGTTTGGACAAAAGTTCTTATCGTTGGCAGTTTTTACAGCTGAGTTTCTATACTCTGAATTTAAAGCTATTCCTCTCTTTATTTGTACCAACTGACTTGCTTTTTAAAAGACAGATAATTCAAAGTACTGATTGTCCTTGTATGAGAAGAGGCACCTCTTCATTTTGGTTTATCATGCACTGGTAAACTGTCCCCTCTCCCTGATACACATGTAATCCTCTCAACTGAAAAGAATTAGAAGCTCTGTATAAAAGTAGTGAATTTGGTTTGATCTCCTAAAGAATAACCTGTAAAATAACATTATTTTTTTGAGACAAGGTCCCACTGTGTCATGCAGGCTAGCATGGAGTGGTGCAATCTTGGCTCGCTGCAACCTCAACCTCCTGTGCTCAAGAATTCCTCCCTCCTCATCCTCATGAGTAGCTGGGACTACAGCACACACATGCCATGCCTGGCTGGTTTTTTTTTTTTTTTTTTTTTTTTTTTTTTTTCTGAAGAGATGGGTTCTCGCTATATTGCCCTGGCTGGTCTTGAACTTCTAGGCTCAAGTGATCCTCCCACGTCTGCCTCCCAAAATGTTGGAATTACAGGCATGAGCCAATCCACGCCATGCCTAAAACAACTTTTGTTTTTTTTTAAACATTAGCAGTGATTGGTAATTTTCTTAGCATTTAGTATATGTAAAAACATGCATATGCTCCTGAATCTTGTTATCATAGAATTTATAGATTGTTTAGGAACATTGTTTCTGATACTGTAATGAGTACTTCATTCCTTCCTCACTTGTGTTGGATCGTACGCCATGGTGGGTACCTCACTGTTTATAGTAGACTACTGTGCTGTTCCCTATTTACCCGGGAGAGGTAATGCAAGCTCTGGGTATAACGCTGAGACTTTCACTTTGAACCATGAACATAGACTTAATTTCATTATTCTTCATTTTTTGGTTGTTGTTAAATGAGATCTCTGGTTACAGAGTTGACCACCGTTTGTAGAAGTTCATTTGCCAAGAATGACTTTATAGTATAAAGTGCCTTCTTGCTGGCTGGGCATAACTGAGGTTCATGCTTTAGCAAATGAAAACGGGAAGATTAGTGGAGATTTCGTCATCCATTAGCCAAGGATTGGGCATGCCATGTACTCATGCTGCCACCGTGTGGACATTAATGAAATAGAATATTAAAATCAAGGGACATAATGAAAACTTACATGTGATTGAACAGCTCCCATACTGAAAATTATATTAAGAATATTGTTTTAAATGAGAACACATGGACACAGGGAGAGGAGCATCACACACCCACACTGGGACCTGTTGATGGGTAGGGGGCACGGGGAGGGAGAGCATTAGGAACAATACCTAATGCATGTAGGGCTTAAAATCTAGATGATGGGTTGACAGGTGCAGAAGACCACCATGGCACATGTATACTTATGTAACAAACCTGCACGTTCTGCACATGTATCCCGGAACTTATAGTGAAAAAAAAACAACAAAGAATATTGTTGTGGTGAGTTAGCATGAGTTTTCATTTCAGGAAGGTTGCCTTGTCATTTTTAGTATCTGAATTTTGTGGATGCCTGGAGCTGTGTTCACTTGAAAATCTGGTAAAAGGGAATGGGCTTTAGGTACTGAAGATTCCCAACTGTTTCAAACCCCACAAAAAAGTGTGATTGAATGAAAAGGACCCTAGGATACAATATCTTAAAATAAGAAGGAGAAAGATTTGGGTTATGTTCATATATCAATGACTACTGTATTGAAGTGATTTTGAAGTGATTTGTGTGACTATTGAAATGGGCACATTTTATAAACTTTAATTTGTAGGCATCAGAGACCCCAACTCTACAAGGCCTTTCCTTTACTGTCAGACCTGGTGAATTGTTAGCTGTGGTCGGCCCCGTGGGAGCAGGGAAGGTGAGTTATAATGGCTTTTGGCAGCTTATTGCAACCCCACTTGTCATATTAACTTCTTGGGTTTGAGCTCAAAGTTCTGTGCAACACAAGTTTGAATTGGGTATGCTTGGCACGGCATTTCTCAGTACATGGAACGTTAGTTTTGCAAGAAGGTCACATGACAAAGTAAATGTGGGCAATGCATAGCATGTTTCCCTTGGTTCTTCAAGTTGCATAATTGGGAACTCCCAGAAGTTGGACATCTTCATGAAGGAAATTGTTTATATGACCACTATGCAGGATGGATTGAGACTAAGAAAGTGGGAGCTTCTTTTGTCAGAGTGGATCCTAGATACTACAAGACATCTGGAGGGTGTGAAGGCTTGTCTGCAAAGCTTTCAACATGTTTTATTATGACTTCTCCAAGTCACATGAACACATATTTAACAAACCTGCAACCAGGTGTGTAGCCCTGTGTTAGGAGCAAAAGATATACCTGTAAGCAAGACCCAGATGCCACTGCCCTCCAGAAGCTTCTGGTATCTTGGATGAGACAGATATACAAACAGATGATTTCAGTTCAGTATTGCAAGCTCTCTGATACGGGGGAGTACAGACACGTCTATGTGTTGTAAAAGATGTGAAGGAAACGTGCATACTCACTTAGTCTCATGCATTCTAAAGCAACACAGTAAATCTAGATGAAGGGTTTATAACCAGTGAGTGCTTTCACAATTGAAGTTTGCTCTCCAGAGACATCATTGCTGGGTATTAAAAAAAAAGTCTGTCTTAGTGCACAGGATATATTATTTATTTTTATTCATTCATTCATTTATTCATGTATATATGGATGGATGTATATTTAGTTTTTGAGACGGGGTCTTGCTCTGTCGCTCAGGCTGGAGTGCAGTGGTGCAGTCTAGGCTCACTGCAACCTCCAGTTCCCCGGGTTCAGGTAATTCTCATGCCTCAGCCTCCCAAGTTGCTGGGATTATATGCGTGCCACCATGCCCGGTTGGTTTTTGTATTTTTAGTAGAGATGGAGTTTCACCATGTTGGCCGGGCTGGTCTCGAACTCCTGGCCTCAAGTGATTCACCCACCTTGGCCTCCCAAAGTGCTGGGATTATAGGTGTGAGCCACTGCGCCTGGCCACGATATGTTATTTACATATAGCTTTTCTACAACAAGGTTTTTGTCCAAAAGGATACCTGCAGGCAGGAACAATGCCTTCAGTATTGGCTATAGGAATGATATATCATGCTCGGCTGCTCCATTACTGTCAACATTCTTAGTTGATCTTGGTTCCATGTAGCATTTCATTTAGGGGAATGAAACTCATTTAGGGAAAGTCATTAGGGAAGGGTAGATTGTTATACTCCACTGTTAGTATTCCTTACAAACTACTAGTTTACATTGACCAATATGTTATTTCCAATTTTTAATCACAACTTCCTGTGCCATACTAGATCCTCTTTTAAATGAATTAAATGATGCTTTTCAAGCTCCCAGCACTGGGCAAGGCTGCACTGCAGTGGCTTATTCTTGTCTCATGTTGACCGAACATGTGTTTTTTTACGATCTATTTCAGTCATCACTGTTAAGTGCTGTACTCGGGGAATTAGCCCCAAGTCATGGGCTGGTGAATGTGCGTGGAAGAATTGCCTATGTTTCTCAGCAGCCCTGGGTGTTCTCAGGAACTGTGAGGAGTAATATTTTATTTGGGAAGAAATATGAAAAGGAACGATATGAAAAAGTCATAAAGGCTTGTGCTCTGAAAAAGGTGAGTGATGACTTTTGGATTTCATGTACTCAAATGTCCAGTAATATTAGTGTTTATTTCAACAACGAGCTTTATTAACTTTTTTTTTAATTTTGAAAGACCTTTGATTTTTTTTTTTTTTTTTTGAGGTGACATTTTGCTCTTGTTACCCAGAGCTTGGAGTGCAATGGCACAATCTCAGCTTACTGCAACCTCTGCCTCCCAGGTTCAACTGATTCTTCTGCCTCAGCCTCCCAAGTAGCTGGAATTATAGGCATCTGCTACCACGCCCAGCTAATTTTGTATTTTTAGTAGAGACGGAGTTTCTCCATGTTGGTCAGGCTGGTCTCAAACTCCCGACCCCAGGTGACCCTCCTGCCTTGGCCTCCTGCAGTGCTGAGAATACAGGTGTGAGCCACTGCTCCCAGTCCTCGAATGTCATTTAATACTTTAAGGCAGTTCTCCCAGTAAATAAACACATACACTGTCGTTTAAGTCTGATGTGAAAATGATATATACAGGGTGAGTTTGTGGGGGGGTTGGTTGGTTTTGTGAAGTTTCATTTACTTTTAACATTTTCTTTTTCAAAATAGACAATTACAAAAATTTGCAAAAGCAGAGAGAAAGGTGTCTTAAACCTGCATGTGCCCATTGCTTAAGTTTACGTGCGATCGACCTGTAGCCAGTTCTATTCAGTCTCCAGCCCTGCCCTCTGCTAGCCCCACTCCCACCCCAGATTCTTCTGATGTACACCCTTGACCTCAATTGTACTTCATTTGTGATACCTTATTACTTATCCCTAGAAGGTAAGAACACTTTTGAAAAAAATTACATCTTACCTAAGAAATAAATGACCAAAATTCCCTGCTGTCATCAGCTGGCTAGGCAGAGATTACGGCGCTTTAGCTCTCATTGCCTGCTGGTTTGCATCAGACTCCAGAAGACGTCTGCACTGTGCGCTTGGCTGGTGTTTCCTGCCTGGGTCCCTCTCACACCATAGCTTTCCTTCTCCACCACCTTTAAAAAGGAAAATTTGTCACAGTAGTTTCTGGGCTATGGGTGTTTTTTGGCTACATGGATAAATTTTTCAGTGCAATTTATTATTTAAAGGAAGCAAACTGTTTAAAAATTTTTTTTCATTGTGTATCATTTCACCTAGAGAGTGATGGTTTTCACAAAAGATGAAATGTTTGATTGTCCACTGAGGTTTTCATAAAATTGGTGGGCAGTTGATGGAAACTGAGCATACTTAATAGAAGACTATAAGTTAGAAAATAGAAAAAATGGTAAATACTGATAAATGCTATGTTACCGTCTTTGGGCCATAAAAATCATTGAATAATGGCACTAAAGGGCTCTCCCTGGGCTCTGCAGTGTGGCCTGGACATCCTACTGTTCTTTTATACTGTCTGGAAAAAGGCCGCCACAGACCGTCACAGTTGTGATGCAGAAGGCTTCCAGCCAGGTTTGCAAGGAGTGAGTAATTTTGCTTGAACAGGGGCTTGAATATCATAGATTCTATCGATCAGGTGAGTAGTCGTTGCTAGTGATTTGGACAGAAACATCATTGCTTGTTTAATGGGCTGTTTCTTCCTTCTGGCCTATTAATGAGAGATGATGCATTTTCAGAAGTGACATTAGGTTAGCACTAAGGAGCTAGATTTTTATTGAATAGTATATACTATATAGGAAAAGATGGGCTAAGACAAGCTCCTAGTTACTCAGATTCCACCAGGTGTGAATTTTTTCTCTCTCTCACACACACTCACACATATGCGCACACAAAGGCATATGAAGTTTTAATCTGTTGCCGTGATTTCCCAGTGCCTTTGCTGTTGCTGTCCTCATTTAATTTTTTGATATTGCTATCCTCGTTTTTTAAAACAAAAGTTTCATTTTATTCAAAGTACAAAATTGCTAACATTTCCCTAAAATGATGACTATACTTCTGCTTGTCCTGCTCTGGTGTCCCCCCACTGTCCCCTGCTTCCCCAAAGGTCCATTTTAGAGAAATTTTGCAGGAATACAAGATCAAGGCAGGAGAATATACAAGGTGATTTCAGTGTGTTGCAGTGAGCAGAATATATATATATATGTATATGTATGTGTATATGTATATGTATGTGTATATGTATATATATGTGTATATGTATATGTATGTGTATATGTGTATATATGTGTATATGTGTATATATGTGTATATGTATATGTATGTGTATATGTATATGTATGTGTATATGTATATGTATGTGTATATGTATATGTATGTGTATATGTGTATATATGTGTATATGTGTATATATGTGTATATGTATATATGTGTATATGTATATGTATGTGTATATGTATGTGTATATGTATATGTATGTGTATATGTATATGTATGTGTATGTGTATATGTATATGTATGTGTATATGTATATGTATGTGTATATGTATATGTATGTGTATATGTGTATATAAGTGTATATGTATATATGTGTATATGTATATGTATGTGTATATGTATATGTACGTGTATATGTATATGTACGTGTATATGTGTATGTACGTGTATATGTGTATATATGTGTATATGTATATATGTGTATATGTATATATGTGTATATGTGTATATATGTGTATATGTGTATATATGTGTATATGTGTATATGTATATATATGTGTATATGTATATATGTGTATATGTGTATGTGTATATGTATATGTATGTGTATATGTATATATATGTGTATATGTGTGTGTGTGTATATATATATATATATATATATTGTCTTAGGAAGTTGAGAAACAGATGGCAAATTTTGCAAGTTTTCCCCAACTAGTAGTTAGAGCTGATAACCAAGAAGCTGCTGCTGGACCAGGCCCCAGAGATAGGAAAGATGGTGTGCCATTTTTCAGTGGAAGGGTGGTACTTGGCAACCTGGGCCTTGTCTTTCGGCTTTTGCCCTCCATCACTGGTCTATGATAAGTTAGAAGTGAGGCCTTGGGACTAATATATGGCTTTCTTGGGAAGGCTTTGTTGCTCTTTGCGTATTAATCTGCATAGTTTAAAAATAACCTACTACTAAACTCTAGAATTTAAGAATGATTTGTTCCATAGCAGACTTGGTAAAGTGGAGGGTTGGAGAGATGAAATGAATCACCTATGCATTTGCAGTTCAGGCTCAAACCCGCATCCACCTAGCTCCAGATTCCATTTTCCCCTCTTCCAGGCTACCTCTCAGTTGAGGGTGTTTACGGGATAGAACTATTTTAAAAATTGGGTGATTGATACAAAGGTAGAATGTGGGACAAAATGGTTTTCAAGCCTTTTCATTTTACCTGTTCAGCTTCTGATACCCACATGAGACTTCAGATCCCAGGTCACCCAGCCCTGCCTTGCTCCTCCCAACATCAGAAAAGCTCTCGGAGGAAGAGGGGGTTAGAGACAGTGGCTGCCATTCAGCCTCTTCCATAGCCACCTTCGAAGACTGGCCCAGTAACTCGGGTAGTATCCCAGGCTTCGGCCACCTGTGGGCTTCTGTGTGGCAGGCAGACTCCAGTGGCGATGGGGTCCCCTCAGGGCTGGGCTGCATGGTCACACCTTGGTTCCTTCCTGGATGTGTATAAGCATGAACTGCTGTCCCTCTGTGCATGGTTCCATCATCAGCAGGATGGTGGGCCTCCGGTGGAGAAGTCGAACGTAGCAGGAGGCTGATCCAGCTTTGTCCTTTGCTCGCTATCCCTTTTTTGTGTGTTTGTTTTGTTTTTGAGATGGAGTCTCGCTCTGTCACCCAGGCCAGAGTCTAGTTGTGTGATCTAAGCTCATTGCAACCTCCGCCTCCCAGGCTCCAGTGATTCTCCTGCCTCAGCCTCCTAACTGGGATTACAGGTGTGCACCACCATGCCTGGCTAACTTTTTTGTTTTTAGTGGAGATAGGTTTTGTTACGTTGGCCAGCTGGTCTTGAAGCCCTGATCTCAAGTGATCCACCTGCTTTGACTTCCCAAAGTGCTGCCATTATAGGTGTGAGCCACCACGCCTGACCAGCTCGGTATCACTTTGGACATATCACATGACTTGCCTTGGGCCCTTGATGTCTGATGGGCTGAGATGGTTTCCATTTATGATTGTTTAGCAGGGGACCAGCAAGAAACCAGGGATCCTCTTAATGAGTTAAGAGATCCTTTGCTGACTCCCTTTCAAATCCAGGTATCAATAGTGGGCGTGAGATGGCCATAGAGAACAGCAGCTTCCTGGAATTATTTTGGCTCGTAGATACAGAGATTGCATGTGTAACCAAAAGCTGCTGGGCAGAAACAGTCCTGGGTGTGTCGAGGTGTTTGCCTCTGTTTCATTTCTTATTAAATGGGAGAGACACAGCAGGATTGTAAAGACTGCAGGCATTGTCTGTAAAATGCAAACATGACTGGTTTTTGGTGAATGGTAGCTATTGCCCTTTTCTCTAAATCAGTTAATAAGATAAAGAAAAGATTTTGCTTTATACCCTTCCCTCCCTGCCCCCTCTCCAGCAAAAAAAAAAAAAAAAAAAATCTAGAGGAGAAAATAGGAACTAACAAGATTTCTCAGATATACTGATAGCAACTAGATATAGTGTACTAGATACAGCTGGAATAAATTTATAAGTTCATTGAGCTAAAAACATCTTTGAGATAAAATAATAAGATAAGAAGTAGTAATTCACATTTAGCAGCATTACTTTAGGCTAATTACGTATTCAAAGTGATATCATAGCAAGTTACAGGCCATACCTCAGGAAACAACATAATAATGTAGATACTTCAGTGGGTAGTGGTTAAAATCCGAGGCCCTGGGGTCAGATGGCTCTGGGATTCAGACTCAGTTCCTCTTTAGTAGGTGTGCGATTTTAGCTAATTGTCTGAACCTTAGAAAGCCTCAATTTCTTCATCTGTAAAATAGAGATAATAATACTATTCACCTCATAAGGCTATGGTGAGGATGAAATTTGATCATAAACTTAAAGCATCTGATTACTAGGAACACAACAGGCCTTCTTTTTATTTATAAGAGCCACTCATTTTGGGTAAAATCACATGAAATGTGACATAGTTAGAAAGAATGTATCTGTATACAACTTCCATTGTTTGAATTGATATTTATGTAGGGATTCTATACTTAGTACAGTAAACAAGTCAACAATAAAAATAGTTACCCTAACAGATGCAATGTATCAATATTATGTCACCTTTTGCATACTTTCTTTTACTCTTTCTGCACTTTTAAGCAATGGGTATCCAAAGGCATGGAATTGATAAATTTGAGTTTAATGTTTTTCTGTATAGCTTGATTAACTATACAAACCCCTTCGGGGCACCCACTATCTTAATCTTCCAGTTTCTTCTCATATTTACCACATTCCTGCCAACTTGGACATTTTCTTTTCAGATTGCCTTGACAATCATAGAATAACTGTTGTCATACTTTTTTTTTTTAATCTCTCAGTTGGGAGAGTCATTTCACTCCTTTGTGACATAATAGGAAATAAATGCTGAGGGCCAGGTGTGGTGGCTCAGTCTGTAATCCAAGTACTTTGGGTGGCTGAGGTGGGAGGATTTCTTGAGGCCAGGAGTGAGACACCAGCCTGGGCAACATAACCAGACCCCTGTCTCCATTTTTTTTTTTTTTTTTTTTTTTGAGACGTTGTCTCACTCTTGTCTCCCAGGCTGGAGTAGAGTGGCATGATCTCAGCTCACTGCAACGTTGCCCCTCAGGTTCAAGTGATTCTTCTGCCACAGCCTCCAGAGTAGTTGAGACTACAGGCGCATGCCACCACGCCCGGCTAATTTTTGTATTTTTAGTAGAGATGGGGTTTCGCCATGTTGGCCAAGCTGGTCTCAAACTCAAAACTCCTGGCCTTGGGTGATCTGCCCACCTTGGCCTCCCAAAGTGCTGGGATTATAGGTGTGAGGCACCATGCCTGGCTTTTTTTTTTAAGCTGAGTACAAAAGGTCCAATGAGGTGAATCTAGCTAGGGTGACTAAGTGTACTGATAGTGCTGCTTATGGATAGAGAGGCTTCAAGTTCTGAGTTGTTTCAGTATTGCCTTTCTATCTTCTCACAAGCGCTCAGGGAAGCCTGATATGAAAGGGCAACAGGCTGTGAACTGAGATGAGCTTGGTTCAGACTCCAACCTTCCTTTATTAGCTGAGAGTCCTCAGACCAGTCCTTCATCTCAGTCCCCTCATCTGTAAAGTGTGGTCAGTACTTATTGGCAGTTATCATGAAGATTGGAGATAACATGAGGCATCAGGAACAGTGGCTGGTGCCTAGCTCTTATGTCTAGGAGTTGACTCATGGAGCAAGAAGCTGAGTACACACATACACATTATGAAGGGGAATACGACAAGTCCTTCCTAAGAAATATAAACGAAGCCTTAGGAACCTAGGAACCTAGTAGAGACAGTGATGTTTTCTGACTGGGGGAATGCAGGTTGGTTTCATAGAAGAGTTTGAGCTGGGCCTGGAAAGAAGAATAGGATATGAGTAAACTGGGATAGGAAGGACCATTCCAAATGGATGCAAAAATGTGGCCTGAAGCTGGAGAGCTCTGCTCTCTGACTCTGGAACCTGCTTCTTGTGCTGGGGCCTCAGGCCTGTCCCCTGTGACCATCCCCACAGTGTCCTCAGTGGTCCTTCTGCCTTCAGTGTCACCATGGTTGATGTACACACGCTAGGATTTTGATTAGATGGTGTCAAACCCGCGTAGCCATGTCATGGTTTTTCTCTGGTTTCTGTGTCTGCGTTTCAGTACAGGTGGTGGTACATTAAATAATTGGTTACCTTTATGAGAGGTACCTAACATGCATAAGATACCTTCCTCCCACTGAGAGCCCTCTGCTTTCCGCTCACCTTTTTTGTTTTAACCAAACCGGAAAATCATGGTTAGGAAATCAGCCTGACTCAGTTTGCACTTCAGATCCTTTGAAATATTTTCCGTATCTAAGGCTCCTCCATAAATAGTTTGCTCAGTCGACAGCACTCAAGGTCATTGTAGCACTCAAAGTGCTACTACAGACACAGAGAGAGCTCGTTTCCTCTTCCATATCTGCACTTAATGAGGCAGGTATTTTAAGTGCCTTTTCTAGAAAATGGCTAAGATTGTGGTGCTACAACTTGATGCTATTTTGAGAACAAAAAAAACAGTGTAAAATCAAGGCACAGAAGCTTAACACATTCTCTAAGGACCATCAGCAATGAAATGAGGCCAAGTAAACAGTGTGTGTTTGTGTTTATATGGAAGGCTGGGACCCAATTCTAAAATGGTGCATTGTCTTTTTAATGAAAATTGGAAGGGAGAGATAGTGTTAACTGGTGCATTGTCTTTATTTATTTATTTATTTTTTTGAGTTGGAGTTTCGCTCTTGTTGCTCAGGCTGGAGTGCAATGGCACCATCTTGGCTTACGGTAACCTTCGCCTCCTGCGTTCAAGTGATTCTTCTGCCTCAGCCTCTCAAGTAGCTACGATTACAGGCATGCGCTGCCACATCTGGTGAATTTTGTGTTTTTAGTAGAGATGGGAGATGGGGTTTCACCATGTTGGCCAGGCTAGTCTCATACTCCTGACCTCAGGTGATCCACCTGCTTTGGCCTCCCAAAATGCTGGGATTACAGGTGTGAACCATTGCACCTGCAGCACTGTCTTTTTCTGAAAACTGAAAGGAAGAGATAGTATTAACTTCTGAGCTCAAGAAAGAGACAATATGAAATAATAATTTTCATAACGGGGCACTTACTGCCTGTCATTTGCTGCAATCTGGTTCAGATTGGAGTATTAGGGGACTCCTGTGTGTCTTCATGGGCTGCCAGGGAGTGTGTTCCAATGGCGATACTTCTTTTTTCCATTTTGAGTTGTACTTTATTTAGTGGGATTCATACTATGAATGGGGTTCTGCTGTTGGTTTGATCAGAAAATATGTCACGGTCATCAATAGCAAATGAGAACAAACTCAGATCCTTTTTTCACTTAAGAGAGTTAATACACTTACTTTAGATTCTTCTGGCATTCTATGAGTTTATTAATTCTTGTTTCTCCAGGATATTTTGTAAAAGAAAGAAAATGATAAGTTAGGGAGGTCAATGGACTTGCTTGTCATGGAGATTGCAGTGTGCCATTTGCTTTGTCTCCTTGGCTTTGTCAGAGTAGAGACAAAGAAAGGACACCTTGATCTGTAAGAAGGCCATCTCTGTACCATCCTAGGTTGATGCTTATTAAGTTCAATCAGCACCCAGCAATCTTCTCCACACTTTGTTTGTCTATGCCAGGATCTGTCTAGTGATAATTATAGGCCATCCAAGTGAAGATTTCTAATATATTGTCATGTCACTTAAACATGATCATTATCCTGTTATTTTCACGGATGTTCTTGTCATTTTTTTTTTTAAATACACTATGCTTTGGCAACTTCTTAAGTAATTTTTAAATGTAACTTTGGCTAGATTCTCAAATAAAACTTGTTATCCTTCCTAGCTTTATTTTTTTGGGGGTAGTGGGATGCTTGCATGGAACAAGAGTCTCCTCACTGCAGCGAATCTGTGCAGTGTTTCATGGGCACCCTGCTCCTTTCCCTCTGGCTTTTCCTGGCCAGGCTGCTCTTTCTGCTCTTGTTTTTTGCATGGTTTTGTCTGTCAGCCTATTGTGGTGCCTTAAGCATCACTGTGAAGACGTTCTTCTCTGAGAATGGAAAGCTCAGACAAAAGGCAACAAAATGGCTCATGAAGACACAGTTGTTCCTTAAAAAGTCCCATGGCTTTATGCTGCCAGCCCTCACAGCTGGGTCTCTAGCGCAGACCTCTAGACTCTCTTATCCAGCAGCAAGTCACGATTGCCGGTCAGCATTTCAGTCCGGCCGTAATCAAGCTCTTGATTTTACCTCTTACATCTGCATCCCTCCTTTCCCTCAGTGCAGTAAATGCTAACCCTGTTCTTCCCTTGTCTTATAACAAAACCAGTGCAGCCCATCTCTTTTTCTATCACAACCCACACCCATCTCATCAGCAGATCCTATAGGTGCTACCTTCAAAATGTGTTCAGCACGTAACCACTCACATTCACTTCTCTGCTCCCCACTCTGGTCCCAGCTACTGTTGTTTCTTGTCTTGATTATTGCCTTGATCTTGTCCTTCCTCCTATTTCCCTGGGTGTGAGCCCTTAGCCCCTCTTGCCTCTCTCTGCCTCTCCCCTCCGCTGCCACCATCTTGTGCTCACAGTTCTGCTGGCCTCCGTGCTGCTCTTCTGTGAAGACCTCAGGCATGCATTGTCCCGTGGCTTTTGCACTTGCTCATTTCTCTATATGGAGCACTCTCCCTGCAGTCTGTGCCAGCCACTCCATCCGCTGACTCATCTCGATCAGACCCCCTCGATCAGAGCCCTTGCTGACCTCCCTATATAAAGTGGACTTTCCCTCTGTCACTTGCTGTCTCCCTAAGCCAGCTTCCTTTTCCTTCTTAGCACTTATCACCTCTTGCATTTGTGTCAATCTTTTATTGTCAGGTCACTCACTGTGGAAACTCCTTCACTGCTGAATTCACATGGAGTTGGTACTCAAAAAATTTCTGTTAAAATGGCTCAGTGCCTAAATGCTATGGAAAACTACAGCCTTATGATAGATAACTTGCCCAGACAGTGTATTGGATAGGTTCAAAGTTACAATTTAGTTACTATGAAATATATCCATTGCTGTTGATCAAATACATGTATATTTCTGAAGCACTAATGTGCAAAGTTTAGGGTAACAGAGGGAGATCATGTTTAAGTCTTTTTCCCTCCTTCTTTCTTTTGTCCATATAGGATTTACAGCTGTTGGAGGATGGCGATCTGACCGTGATAGGAGACCGGGGAACCACACTGAGTGGAGGGCAGAAAGCTCGGGTAAACCTTGCAAGGTAAGTTGCGTTTCAGCAGCCACTATGCAGGTGTCTTTTGTGCTGCTTCTAGTGGTGGTAAACACATAGGGCCTGCTTACTGTGTTTTGGGTCCTGTGTGAAGCACCTTCTTGGATTATATTCCATTAGCACTTGAATTAATATCCAGTTGTTGAAAGTTTTCATGATCCTAAGTGAGAATCTGATATCTCTATATTTTCTAGAGCTGTGTATCAAGACGCGGACATCTATCTCCTGGACGACCCTCTCAGTGCAGTAGATGCGGAAGTTAGCAGGCACTTGTTTGAGTTGTGAGTTTGTGTCTTAAGTCATTTCTGCTTTCCCAGAGCCATTTCTAGTTGGCTCAGGAAAGCCTTTATGGCTTTCAGCGTGTCCTGCTCTGGTGTCCCCCCACTGTCCCCTGCTTCCCTGAAGATCCATTTTAGAGAAATTTTGCATAAATACCAGGAAAATATACACGGTGATTTCAGTGTGTTGCAGTGAGTGGAGTGTGTGTGTGTGTGTGTGTGTGTGTGTGTGTGTGTATATATATATATATATATACACACAATATATATATATATATATATATATATATATATATATACACACACAATATATATATATATATATAATGTCTTAGGGAGTTGAGAAACAGAAAGTTTGCAAGTTTTCCCCGACTAGTAGTTATAGCTGATAACCAAGAAACTGCTGCTGGACCAGGCCCCAGAGATAGGAAAGATGGTGTGCCATTTTTCAGTGGAAGGGTGACACTTGGCAACCTGGGCCTTGTCTTTCAGCTCTTGCCCTCCATCATGGATCTATGACAAGTTGGAAGTGAGGTCCTTGGGGCTGGGTGTGGTGGTTCACACCTGTAATCCCAGCACTTTGGGAGGCCGAGTTGGGCGAATTACAAGGTCAGTAGATCAAGACAATTCTGGCCAAAATGGTGAAACCCTGTCTCTACTAAAATACAAAAAAACTAGCCGGATGTGATGGCATGCACCCCTAGTCCCAACTACTCGGGAGGCTGAGGTAGGGGGATTGCTTGAACCTGGGAGGTGGAGATTGCAGTGAGCCGAGATTGTGCCACTGCACGCCAGCCTGGCAACAGAGCAAGACTCCATCTCAAACAAACAAAAACAGAAGTGAGGTCCATGGGACCAACATAGGCTTTCTTGGGAAGGCTTTATTCTTTGCATATTAACCTATCAGTTTAAAGATGGCCTACTAGTAAAATCTAGAATTTAAGAATTAGTTGTTCCATTGTATACTCTGCTTTCAAGAATCTAATGTTGCTTCATGGATTCTTACCAGAGTGAACACTTAAGACCCACAGACGTGTAGGCCTGGCCTGCCTTTGAAACTAGTTGCCTAGAATCTGGCTTCCCCCACAACTCTTATGTGCTGTTTCTGGGATTTGCTTTCTTTGGCTTTTGCGTAGACACTGAGCTATGGAAGTAGAATTACTCTGGAATCTTTTCTGTGCATTCTGTAACCTCATGTGTGCCGACGGACACTTCCTATGTAATCTAGACTGGCCTTTTCGAAAGCACTGTGAACCGGTTTTGCTACAGCAGCACCCACATCTGCCCCATAGCCAGCTTCCTGCTTTGTGCATTGTTGAGGCCAATGAGCCTTTCCCACTCATTTAGCCCTTCTGGGCACACTGAGGTAGATGCTGCTGCAGGTGTTACTGCATAAAACGTCTTCGCTTGCAAAGGAGGGCAGTCAGCCGTGGAGAAGGGAAGCACCCGGGCTGGGCTGAGTGAGAGAGAGACAAGTTCAGATCTCATTCTTGCTCACAAAGAAATTGTCTCTGCATGGATTCAAGACTAAGTGCATGGGAAAAGTTCACCAGACTCCAAGGCTTAGGGGATTTCAATGTAGGACAATCTATTGTTGTTTTTTTTTTTTTTAAATAGGGTCTCGCTGTATTACCCAGGCTGGAGTGCAGTGGTGCAATCTCAGCTCACTGCAGCCTTGACCTCCTGGGCCCAAGGGATTCTACCTGCTGGGTAGCTGTGACTATTGGCTCGCATCACCATGCCTAGCTCATTTCGTGTTTTTTGAAGAGAGGGGGCTTCACCATGTTGTCCAGGCTGGTCTCTTCCCTATGTTGTCCAGGCTGGTCTCGAACTCCTGGGCTCGAGGGATCCATCCCCCTTGGCTTCCTAGAGTGCTGGGGTTACTGGTGTGAGTGCACCTGGCTTAGGGCAATCAATTATTTTAAATGGAAGCAGTGGGCAGCTGAAGTTGGAAAGGTCATGGAGGGCCAGGCTTGGCTGGAAGTAGCCTGTGTCCTGCAGGCAGGTAAGGGTTTGTGGTGGCTGAGAGTAGGATAAAGAAATAGTAGATGCAGAGGTGTGGAGACGGGGAGGAGTGAGCCTGTGGGAAGGAGAGCAGCCGGGCCCCTGTTCCTCTGGCGGGGGATAGAGAAGGTACCGTGAGAGAAAGCTGTTTGGACCTGCTCGCTGGAAGTCCTGTCTTGGCCCGGGCTGCTCTCACAAAACGCCACAGGCCAGGGGAGCTTACACAGCGGCAGGTTGTTTCACACCATTCTGGAAGGTGCACGTGCGAGATCAAGGCGTCTGCAGCTGCGGCTTCTCCCAAGGGTTTTGGTGGCATGCTGATGACCGCCCTCTCGCCCTTTCCTCCTTATGTGTCTGCGTCCAAACCTCCTCTTCCTGGAAAGACACCAGTCAGAGTGGAGCAGGGCCCACCCTCATGGCCTCATTTTAGTGTCATTGCCTCTCTAAAGGTCCTGTGTCGGCCTGGCACTGTGGCTCATGTCTGTAATGCCAGCACTTTGGGAGGCCAAGGCAGGCAGATCACCTGAGGTTAGGATTTCGAGACCAGCCTGGCCAATGTGGTGAAACCCCATCTCTACTAAAAATACAAACATCAGCTGAGCGTGGACGGGGGCACCTGTAATCCCCCCTACTCAGGAGGCTGAGGCAGGAGAATCGGTTGAACCCAGGAGAGGGAGAATTGCAGTGAGACAAGATCGCGCCATTGCACTCAGGCCTGGGTGATAAGAGCGAGATTCCATCTCAAAAGTAAAAAATAAAATAAAATAAAGGTCCTGTGTCTAAATTCTAAGGTGCTGTGGTGATGGCTGGAACATAAGAACTTTGAGGGGAACATGGTTCAGTCCATAACAGGTCTTGGATAGCAAAGTAGAGAGAGATTTGGGCAGAGTTGGCTGTGTGAGAATAACTCATCTCTGGGCTCTGGATTCCAGGGGTTTGGACATGAAGTCATCCACCGAGCATGGGGCTCTGCATGGGTTCCCGCATATTTCCCCACCAGAGTGCTTATGCAAAATGTGCCTGGTGTGTGATGATGAAGTGGATGTGGATGGTGGTGATGGTTGCACAACTGTGAATTTACTTAGTACGACCAAGCTGTCCACTTAAAAATGGTAGAAATGGGCTGGGCATGGTGGTTCACACCTGTAATCCCAGTACTTTGGGAGGCCACGGCAGGTGGATCACCTGAGGTCGGGGGTTCGAGACCAGCTTGACCAACATGGAGAAACCCTGTCTCTACTAAAATACAAAATTAGCCAGGCCTGATGGCTCACGCCTGTAATCCCAGCTACTTGGGAGGCTGAGGCAGGAGAATCGCTTGAACCCGGGAGGTGGAGGTTGCAGTGAACTGATATCGCACCATTGCACTACAACCTGGGCAACAAGAGCGAAACTTTATCTTACAAAAAAAAAAAGATATAAATGGTAAATGTTATATCATGTCTGTTTTTCCATAACCAAAATCATGTGGATGGAAGCATTGAATCTTTCTGAATGCAGAGTATGGGATTAGCTGGCGCTCGGTGCTGCCCCCACACTCTGATCGGAGCCTTGTGTCCTGCTCCCTCCTCATTGTGCCTTGATGAATTTTCCATTTGGTCGAGAAGGGCCTTTGGGACTTGCTTCAGTCCTATGTGAGTCCCCACCAATTCTTTATCACTCAAACAACAATTCCCGGTGGGACACTGTTTTAGAGTCACCAGTGGGGGAGGAAGGTATTTTCATTGCTGAGTATCAGCGTGCGTATCACACAAGCTACCCCAAATTTTCCTTTGAACACAGGAGGTATTTATAAAGTCCTCTTGCACCTTTAAGGTTTAATGACTTTGGATATACACTTGTTAGAAGCAAGCTTGTTAAAATTGTTGTTTGCTAATCAGAATCACATTCTTTGGGGAAACTTAGGGCAGGGAGCACGAATGCAATTTAGGAAATCATTCAGCAGCAACTGGAGAATGTTCTCAACGAGTTAGAAAATTGGATTGAACAATATGCTATGAAAGATGGCGGTTGTGTTGAAGCTTAGAAATGTGAAGTGTTTTGTATTAAAAGTGAATGAATTACACTTCCATTTGCCATTAACAGTTTTACTTTAATCATGAATATCTATCGAGGGTTGTGAAGAGTTGTGTTTTACAACTACATGTCGCAAACATGAAGTGGATTTTATCACACACAAAAAAGTTGTGAAGAGTTGTGTTTTACAACTACATGTCGCAAACATGAAGTGGATTTTATCACACACAAAAAGTGGGGGGCACTTAGATGAAGGGATGCTAATCTGATTTGCTACCTGCTATCGATGTGGTTGTATTCTAGAAAGCCCCAAATTCTCAGACCCCTGCCTCTTTGAATCTCCTAATCAGATCTCCCAAACTGTGACCTACGTATTTGTCTCAGTCCATTCAGGCCACTGATTCAAAATAGCATAAACTAGATACTCCATATAAACAACAGAAAATCGTTTCTACACTTCTGGAGGCCAAGATCCCAGATCAAGGCGCCAGCAGTTTTGGTGTCTGGAGAGGGCTCACGCTCTGGTTCATAGACGTCTGTCTTCTCACTGTGTTCTCAGGTGGTGGAAGGGGTCTGGCAGCTTCCCTGGGCTGGCCCCTTTTACTAATACCATTCTTGTTGGCAGACTCTCATGAAATAGGCCTCACCTCCTAATACCATTACGTTGGTGATTAGGGTTCAGTAGGAAATTGGGGAGGGCCAGTAACATGCAGGCACAGCACTAGTTCACCCTCCCTGTTTCAGTTCCTCCTGGGACTCCCCTACTTTTAAGCTACATTCTAAGTCCTCGAATGGCAAATGGCCCTTTGCTGCCCACCCCATTCACCTTTCCAGCCCTTGCCTGGCAAGCCTGGTCCTTCAACCATGCAGACTTCTGTGGGGTGCCTGGAAGGAGGCGTGACTTTCTCAGGTCTGCCTGTCTGTAAGGGCATTGTTCCTGCTGGGATAGTATACCTGGGCAAAAGAGAAAGATGAAAGACAGAGATCTTACCTCCTGCCTTTCTCTTCTGCTCCACATTGGCCGTTGCGGGGGCCTGCTTTCTCAGTCTGCCCACAACCCTCATTGCTGCTCTTGATCCACCTGTGTGTCCTTCCGCAGCCCCCGCACTAGATTGTGAATGCACAAAGGCGCCTTTGCACAGTGCGTTGGTGCCTCAGGACCATTGCACCTGCTGTATCTGCCAGGAATGCCTCCCCCAGATATTCTTGTGACTCATACATCACCTCCTTGCAGAGAGGCCATTTCTGGCCACTCCCTCTAAAGTACAACCTTCGCCTGGCTGTCTCTTCGTGGTTTACATTACTACCCGATAGTATATTTTCTATGTTTGTGTAGTGAGTGTCCCCTACATGATGCAGGGTGTTGTCTGTTTGCTGGAGCAGTAGATGTATTCTCTGCACTTAGAGTAGTCCTTGGTACTTCATAAGTGCTCAGCAAATGTGTCTTGACCAAATGAATGAAGGTAGTGACTGTATCTGTGCCTTCCTCCTTCCCTTTTTTTTCTCCCACCCTCCCTCCTTCCCTCTCTTCCTTTCTTTCTTTCTTCCTCCCTCCCTCCCTCCCTTCCTTTCTTAACAGAGTTTTGCTCTGTTACCCAGGCTGGAATGCAATGGCACGATCACAGCCCACTGCAACTTCTACCTCCTGGGCTCAAGTGATCCTTCCGAGTAGCTGGGACTACAACTACACACCACCACACCCAGCTAAGTTTCATGTTTTTTGTAGAGATAGGGTCTCTCTATGTTGCTCCTGGGCCCAAAAGGTCCCCTTGCCTTGGCCTCCCAAAGTACTTGGATTAGAGGTGTGAGCTACTGCACCCACCTGACTGTATCTTTCTCATCTGTGTCACCTCCAACATTGTATATGTCAGCTCTTTTTTTTTGAGACATCTCACTCTGTCGCCCAGGCTGGAGTGCAGTGGCATGATCTCAGATCACTGCAGGCCTCCTGGGTTCAAGTGATTCTTGTGCCTTAGCCACTCGAGTAGCTGGAATTACAGGCATGCGCCACCACATCCAGCTAATTTTTGTATTTTTAGTAGAGACAGTGTTTCACCATGTTGACCAGGCTGGCCTTGAACTCCTGGCCTCAAGCGATCCATCTGCCTCAGCCTCCCAAAGTGCTGGAATTATAGGCATCAGCCCCTGTGCCTGGCCTCTTAATGTAGTCTTTATATGGGATAAGAGTTAAATAGCTTGTTGCTAAATCAATCGCTTATTATTTGTTTGTTTTATGGCATGACTGGAAGATTTTTACTCTTAAAAATTTGGAAAGTATTTTTTGAGATTTGTGTAAGAATAATTTAGAAAAAATTTCAAGCCATCAATTACAGTGTTGGTGTAATCATTTATATTATCTCATCTACAATGGAAGATGTTAGGACGAAAACATTTTGAAACCTTTGAGGTGGCTGTAACTGGATGGATATAGCACTCCATCAGATTTGATTGTTAACATCTCCATTTAGATATGTATATAAAGGGATTAATGGCAGGCAATTCTGAAATAAAGGGAAACGGTTTCATTAAAAGCTTTAGGTACTAAACCTGAAGAGGGGTATACCAGGTTGAGAAACATAGGTTTAAAATAAGCCACACCTAAGACATGTGAAAGGGGAAAAATTAGCCAAACTAAGACATGTGAAAGGGGAAAAATTAGCCAAACTAAGACATGTGAAAGGGGAAAAATTAATCCCTTCGGATGTCAAGGATGAAGTGTTAGTTTCCATATCTGCAGTCTGGAGCTGTGGTTCTGATCACAGGCTCTGTCTCTATTACCCGCTTCTGACTTCTCAATACTGAATTTCTAGAAGTGAATGGCTGCATGTAGGTTAAAGGGAAGATTGGAGAACCAGGCTAATACTTATTAAGCATGAGTTATGTTCTGGGCCATTGTTACAGTTTAATGCTTTTATTTATTTATCCATTTTTTTTTTCTTTTTGAGACAGGGTGTCACTCTGTCAACCAGGCTAGAGTACAGTGGCCTGATCACAGCTCACTGTAGCCCCAACCTCCTGGGCTCAAGTGATAGTCCCACCTTAGCCTCCCTTGTAGCTGGGACTATAGGTGTGTACCATCACACCCGGCTAATTTTTTTGTTTGTTTTGTATTTTTTTTTATAGTGATGGGGTTTCACCATATTGCTCAGGCTGGTCTTGATCTCCTAAAGTAAAGCTATCCACCTTCCTTGGCCTCCTAAAGTTCAGCATTTGCAGGCATAAGCCACTGTGCCTAGCCTGTGCTTTTATTTCTTAGAATGTGTTTATGAGTTCAACGAGGTTAGGTAACTCACCAACATTGTCAGGCCAGTAAGAGGCAGAGCAGGGATTTGAACTCCAGATTCTGTTTCTCCAGAACTCTGGCTCTGACCCACCTTAGCAGGTTGTGCCATTGCCATGTTGCAGATGATTGCTCTATGCAAGGACTTGGGAACAAAGCAGGGGTGGTAGGAGCCCTCCCTGTGGTCCTCAGGCTCCATACAGGGCTACTCGGTTACTTGGAGACACTGCAGACCCTTGTGGGATGGAGGCTGGACTGAGCTCCGAGGAGTCTACGTTTACAATGTAGGAGAACTTTGAGAGGGTACTGTAGAAAACATACCAACCTCAGAAAACTTAACGGTTGAATACTGAGGTGGGTCTTATTTTTGAGCCACATGGTTTGGACTGTTTGGATTCTGTTCTTTCACTTTCTTATTCAGACTGTTTAGGACTAATGAGAGAAGTTTTGCGTCCTGGATGAGGCCAGGAATACTGAGGAGAGTCACGCATCACTAGCATTTGTTTTCCTATCTAGTATTATTTGGAAAGAAGAGTCTGGAAAATGCACCCTGGCAAAGGTTACCAAGTATCTAAGCCTTTGGGTGGGGGGTGTTAATATGTATGTTATAAATTATCACATAAGAAACTAAGAAAAATGCCACATCATTGGCTGGGCACGGTGGCTCATGCCCGTAATCCCAGCACTTTGGGAGGCCGAGGTGTGCAGATTGCCTGAGCTCAGGAGTTTGCGACCAGCCTGGGCAACAAGGTGAAACCCCGTCTCTACTAAAATACAGAAAATTAGCCAGGCATGGTGATATGTGCCTGTAGTCCCAACTACTTGGGAGGCTGAGGCAGGAGAATTGCTTGAACCCAGGAGGCGGAGGTTGCAGTGAGCCGAGATTGTGCCACTGCACTCCAGCCTGGGTGACAGAGCCAGACTCCATCCCCAACCCCCCCAAAAAAGGAAAGAAAAATGCCACATTGTTACATGACCTCGATCTTTCTTTCTCCCCTGCAATTCTGCACAGCAGTAAAATAATTAGTGTTTTAGTTAAGTCAGATTTTTGAATCTCCGTGCTGTTCAATTGTTTTTATCATGGAGTATGTAACTGTTAAACCAAGTTTTAGAAAAAAAAAATTACACTCATTGCCTCCTCCCCAGACTACTTTTCAGGATTTCCTCACAGCAAGGCTCTGAGGACCTAGCAGGTTGTATTGGTTTATATTTGTGTTTAGTTTGTACTGAACCTTCAGATCTTTGACTGCTGTGTTGTCTTTGTCTGACTGTGGTTTCTAAATGAATGTTTTTCAGTGTGGAGCACCCCTATTCATGTGTTTGTTTCACCTTGTGCCTTTTACATTTATAGGTGTATTTGTCAGACTTTGCATGAGAAGATCACAATTTTAGTGACGCATCAGTTGCAGTACCTGAAAGCTGCAAGTCAGATTCTGATACTGAAAGATGTAAGTAGTTTCTAGAGGTCTCCTGAACTTGCAAGTACTCAGGTGTGTTGAATCCCCTTCTTCTTCCTCCATTTCATGTACCTTTCTTCTCAGAGCTGGGATTTGTGTTTTTGAGTATTAACTCAAAAGACTTGTAGAAATGTCATTATTACATGCCAAACCTTATTACCGTAAAGTATATAAAATTGCTACCTCGCAGTTACTATATTGTTAAAGTTAGTGATGTTATTTAACTTAGAACTTTTCGTTTACTTCTTCTATGACTTAATTCAAATTATATTATTTGGAAATTACAGATACTAAGACCCGTTTGCCTGATTTTCATGCATAGTTTGCCTAAAGATCCTCTTCTATGAGTAGCAGAAACAGCTGAGCTTTTTGGTGGCTCACGCCTGTAATTCCACCACTTTGGGAGGCTGAGGCAGGCGGATCACTTGAGGTCAGGAGTTTGAGACCAGCCTGTCCAACATGGTGAAACACCAGCTCTACTAAAAATACAAAAAATTAGCTGGGCATGGTGGCTCATGCCTGTAGTCCCAGCTGCTGGGGAGGCTGAGGAAGAGAATTGCTTGAACCTGGGAGGTGGAGGTTGTAGTGAGCCAAGATCATGCCATTGCACTCCAGCCTGGGCGACAGAGTGAGACTCTTTCTCAAAATAAATAAATAAAATAAAATAATAATAGCAGAACCACAGGTGGATAACAGAGCAACCCCTAATTACAGCACCCACGTTCCTGGAATAGCCAGTGGCTAGTGTCACTGCACAGGAATTTTTGAGTGCCTGATATGTATGAGAGCCGGTATAGGTGTAAGTAAGACAACGTGCTTGCCATTGTCAGGCTGCCATTCTTCCTGGAGACAGATGCAAGGAAGGAGATGGAGGGGTGACGTTGCCTTGCTGGGACTTGAGTGATGTGAAGGTGCTGACCATGCAGTCACCTGGGGCGGGGCATCTGAGGCTGGGGACTGGCAGTGGGGTCCTAAAGCTGGAAGTTACCTGGTATGTTTATAGGAACATCAAGGGGGGCAGCATGGCTGGAACGGAGCAAGCCAGGGAGAGCCTGGAGGAAGGTGGGCTCAGAGCAGTGGTCATCAGCCCTAGAATTAGGACAGAGGCTACTGGACGTGGTTTGATCTGTGATTTTACGACATCCTAACTGGGCACGGTGGCTCACGCCTGTAATTCCAGCACTTTGGGAGGCCGCGGCGGGTGGATGATCTGAGGTCAGGAGTTCCAGACCAGCCTGGCCAACATGGAGAAACCCCATCTCTACTAAAAATACAAAATTAGCTGGGCATGGTGGCGCATGCCTGTAATCTCAGCTACTTGGGAGGCTGAAGCAGGAGAATCACTTGAACCTGGGAAGTGGAGGTTGTAGTGAGCCGAGATCACGCTATCCAACTCCATTCTGGGCAACAAGAGTGAAACTCCGTCTCAAAAAAAAGATCCCCTTTGTTGTTTGCTGGAGGAGCTACAGCAGAAGTAACTCGAAGTCTTAGTAGTTCACAAGACAGACACAAGGGCTTAGTCTCGTGTATCACTTTCCTAGGACTGCCAGACCAAAGTACCATACGTTTGGTGGCTTAAGACAGCAGAAGTTTATTGTCTCAGTGTTCTGAGGTTGCAAGGCCAAAATCAAGGTGTCCGCAGGGCCATGTCTCTGAAGGCTCCAGGGGAGAATCCTTCCTCGCCTCTTCCACCTTCTGGGGTTTTGTTGGCACTCACTGTTGATCCTGGGCTGGCAGTGCAGCCCTTCAGTCTCCGTCTCTGTTGTCACATGGCGTTGTCGCTTTGTCTGTCTGGCTTTCTTACTATAAGGACATCAGTCATTGGACCTGGGGCCCACCCTACTCCAGCTTGTCTTGATTGCATCTGCAAAGATTCTGTTTCAATAAAGACCACATTCACAGGTTACAAGATTTAGGACTTGAACATGTCTTTTTAGGGGGTCACCATTCAACCCACAAGTGCTAGCATGGCCGGCCTCAGTACCCTGGTCTTTAACCCTTGTCCGTTCCAGGCTCTGGTCAAATCCCTCATTGCAGGTCTGAAATCCCCTTAGTATCTTCCAAAGTTTTGATGTTTCTCTTCCCACAATTTCTTCATTAAATGATGGAAATAATAAAAATGAGTGTTAATTATATTTCATAAGATCTGTGTGCACCATTCTTCGAGGGAGATAAATTTCACATTATTGCAGCAAATAGGCATATGATGATAGCGAAGCTCTTGCAGGTCTTCCTGTGTGTGTAAGCCCCTCCTTGCTGCTTCAACAGTGAGGAATCTGTCTGCTGAAGTCCTAGCCAGTGAATTCTCACCCTTAAGAGGATTATCGAAGGCAGAACTGCTGTCTCTTCAGAAGCAGTTCCGTGTGCCGGCTTTTTCCCACTCCCCCAGGGATAGGGAGCCCAGATTCCTCAAACTTAAAAACAATTCATTTCTTATGCAGAGGGCTGAGACTAGTGTGGCAAAACCTGAATGCTGGTACATTAGAATAAAATCTGTGGGTGGTAGAATAACCTTTCTCCAAACGACCATTGGCGAGGCGCGGTGGCTCATGCCTGTAATCCCAGCAATTTTGGAGGTGGAGGTGGCCAGAGGTGGGGAATCACTTGAGGTCAGGGGTTTGAAACCAGCCTGGCCAAGATGGTAAAAACCCGTCTGTACCAAAAATACAAAAACATTAGTTGGGCATGGTGGCGCGTGCTTGTGATCCCAGCTACTCAGGAGCCTGAGGCAGAAGAATCATTTGAACCCGGGAGGTGAAGGTTGCAGTGAGCCAAGATCATGTCATTGCACTCCAGCCTGAGCAAGAGTGAGACCCTGCCCCCTACACACACACACATACACACACAGTTTTTCCACTGGTGGGCGCTCAGGATAAATGTGCGTCCATTCTTGCTGTCCACCCAGCCCCCGCCCTAACAGCAGACAGAGCACGGTTGCCCCTCAGAACCCACTCTGCATTGCTCGTCAGTACTTGGCTTCTGAGGAAAATTGCGATGTCAGTACCAGTGGGAGTTTCCTTGTGTGTCTTACAGATGCTATGTGAAAAGTGGCCTTTTCATCAAGCTAGGTATGTTATTTTTACCTCCTATGCAGAAGACACAATGTATCATGAAGCATTTTCCAATTCTCCAGAACTGATCCACAGGGTCCAAGGTGTCACTGGGTTTTCCTCAGTGGACCCACCTGTTGAGGGTGGGAGGATTGGGGTAGCAGGGAGGGTCCTGACCACCTTCCCCACCTGACTTGCCTTAGCCAGGAGCTCCTTTAATTTTGTATGCTGGGAGTTTGCCTAACATTTTGTTTGCTGCCATTTCAGGAAATCAGTTGGGTCTCTTTTCATGGGGTACACAAATAGTGAAGACATTTGTACATGATTTCCTATGGCTTTGTAAGGAGAGAAAACTGTTCCATGGGAGGTGTCCCATGGAATGTCGAATTTTCAGTTAGGAACTCCCGGAATCTGTGGGGTAGTTTTATTTATTTATTTATTTTTATTTTTAAATTTATTTTTGAGATGGAGTTTTGCTCTTGTCACCCAGGCTGCTCACTCTCTGCTCACTGCAACCTCTGCCTACTGGGTTCAAGCGATTGTCCTGCCTCAGTCTCCTCAGTAGCTGGGATTACAGGTGCCCAGCTAATTTTTTTGTATTTTTAGTAGAGGTGGGGTTTCATCATGTTGGCCAGGCTGGTCTTGAACTCCTGACTTCAGGTGATCCACCCACCTTGGCCTTCCAAACTGCTGGTATTACAGGTGTGAGCCACCATACCTGGCCTGTGGGGCAATTTTAGAGTAAAGACCATGAGGGTGCAGCTTATGGGGTCTATGTCCAAGGCTGGTTCCCACACACCTTGTTCCAGCAGGGCACATGGCCCATGGCCAGCGGAGGCTTCTGGGGTGCTTCCTACTTATGCAGATATACCTGTTCCTACCTCCCTATCAGTGTTCGGTTTCTTTCCTGGAATATCCTTCTCAATTTACTCATTCCTTCAATTCTTATTGCATAAGGCTTATCTCAGTTTTCATGTTCTGTAACAAAATTCCCAATATGGTCACCAACATCTATGTGACAATGATCACTATTTGCAACATACTGTTACCCATTTAAAAAATATTCCCCAGCACCTAACACGGGGTTTGGCTGAGCACAGAGCACTCAGTTGTGTATCAAGTTGAATTGTATTTGATTTGTCAACCAGGATTCCAGACCCAAGAATAATCATAACTTAAGGTCAGTTACCTTTTCTGGATTAGAATTAGATTATGTTAACATTATCACCTGCAAATATATCTCTCTGAAATTCTTTATTTTTATTTTAGGGTAAAATGGTACAGAAGGGTACTTACACTGAGTTTCTGAAATCTGGGCTAGATTTTGGCTCCCTTTTAAAGAAGGACAACGAGGAAGGTGAACAGCTTTCAGTTCCAGAAACTCCCACACTGAGGAATCGTACCTTCTCAGAGTCTTCAGTTTGGTCTCAACAATCTTCCAGACCCTCCTTGAAAGATGGTGCTGTGGAGAGCCAAGATGTGAGTTCACCTCCTGTTAGGACATGGCCTGGTTTTGTTGACTCTTAATGGCCTCGTGGATCTTTGGTCTACTCCGTTCAAAGCATCATCCTTTGTCCCAAAGTAGATTCTGTGGTTCCAAGGCCTTGTTCATGATATTGGTAGATTAAAACAGAACCAAGGCAAACAGCCCTGGTTGGAGTTATCCTTTGCGTGTAGGCTGGGGAATGTCATGGAGATGAGTACTGGGTGTGTATGCTGGTGCATGTCCCAAGCTGTATGTGACTCACACTGATACTGCAGCTCTTTAATTTACTGTAGCGAAATTCTGCTTTGTCTGGTGGCCCCTACTTCTCTTTGCATCCAGAGGCATAATTTGAAGACCCCCTTAGACAAAGTCATGCTGTGGGCCACATGAGATTAGCCGCTTTTCCTATACGTTGGAATGTTTTGATGTCGCAGGTGGATGATGGAGGTATTTTGCCCTGTTGTCAGATGGTTTATGTTATGCAAAAGCAGCACATGCAGTGACCCAACAGCTCTTGACACACAGCAGCCCATCTTCCTCCTTTTTTAAAACAATTTTTTAAAATTATTATATGTTAAGTTCTGGGGTACATGTACAGAATGTGCAGGTTTGTTACATAGCTATACACATGCCATGGTGGTTTGTTACATCCATCCCTCCATCATCTACATTAGGTATTTCTTCTAATGTTATCCCTCCCCAATCCCCCGACCCCCTGCTATCCCTCCCCTATACCTCCCACCTCCCAACAGGCCCCAGTATGTGATGTTCCCCTCCCCATTTCCCTGTGTTCTCATTGTTCAACACCCATTTATGAGTAAGAACATACGGTGTTTTGTTTTCTGTTCTTGTACCAGTTTGCTGAGAGTGATGGTTTCCAGCTTCATTCATGTCCCTGCATCTTCCTTCTTTACCTTTCAAGAGTAGAGCTGTATCTTATTCGACTTGGCATTCCCAGTGGTCAGCATAGAACTGCTCAGTACATCCTCAGAATATGTGAATCTCATGCATTCTAAGTCCTCCAGGCAGAAATGTACTGGAGCTCATGTAAAAACATATTCCTTGCCATACAATTCTTCACTATCCAAATCCAGGCTCCTAAAGGATCCTTGCAGATATTCAGATTAGGCCCTCACATGCCAAATTCTCAGGAGTCAATTTCCGAAACTCAGGAACCAAATAGATTAGGATCATATACTATCCCTTGCTTTCCAAATATGGTTACTCAGACTCACTGCTCGACCCCAGTTACTGTATTGAGCTTGAGTTCTGACCCTCTGCTCTTTTATGTTTCCATCTTGAGTGATGCAGTTGAGAGTTCCATGTCTTTTTATATATGATTTTGGAACAAGTTTCTCCGTTTATACTTGAATTTGGGTGTGCTGGGTAAGTGCTGGACATCCTAATGTCATCCTTCCAGGTAGCCACGCCACAAAGTACAAATGATATTTCCTTATTTCTAGTAGAACCCTGAAAATGGGATGGCTGGGTCCAAGGATAAGTTCATGTACCTAGGCGTGGTGGCTCACGCCTGTAATCCCAGCACTTTGGGAAGCCGAGGTGGGCAAATCACCTGATGTCAGGAGTTCCAGACCAGCCTGGCCAACATGGTGAAACCCCGTCTCTACTAAAAAAATACAAAAATTACCCAGGGTGGTGACAGGCACCTGTAATACCAGCAACTCAGGAGGCTAAGGCAGGAGAATCACTCGAACTCAGGAGGTGGAGGTTGCAGTGAGCCAAGATTACACCACTACACTCCAGCCTGGGTGACACGAACAAAACTTCATCTCAGTCAATCTGTCAATAAATGCATGGACAGTTTGGCTAGATATTTCCACACTCTTCTCCACAGGAGATGGATCATTTTGGACTTCTGTCTGTTTCCCCACAGCTTTGTCAACAGAATGCATTGTCATCTTTGGATACAATTTTCTATACTGTTTAGTCTCTTACCACCTTTTTTCCTTTGCAGACAGAGAATGTCCCAGCTACACTCTCAGAGGAGAACCGTTCTGAAGGAAAAGTTGGTTTTAAGGCCTATAAGAATTACTTCAGAGCTGGTGCTCACTGGATTGTCATCATTTTCCTCGTTCTCCTAAATGCCGCAGCTCAGGTAAATAATGACATTTGTTTTGTGCCCTCAAAATGATATTTACAGTATATTAATATAAATTTATTTATGCTCTTGTGACTGCATCTTGCCGTTCCCTTGGGGTCTGCATTGAAATGTGCTGTCTTTGGGGAACAAAGTGAGAGCTGCCTATTGGTGTTTTATGTCCACTACAAAGACCTTCTGGGGAAAATAGGGTATCTTTCAATGATTTTTAAATGGAATATGCATTTTCCTGAGCTCTTAATATCTGGGAGTTTGGGCTTGGCACAGGCCTGAGCTGGAAGAACTATGCAGGTTCTCCTCTGTGGCCTTTCTTTTCTTCTTCTTTTTTTTTTTTGAGATAGAGTTTTGCTCTATTGCCCACGCTGGAGTGCAGTGGTGCAGTCTTGGCTCACTGCAACCTCCATCTCCCAGGTTCAAGCAATTCTCCTGCCTTAGCCTTTTGAGTAGCTAGGATTACAGGCATGTGCCACCATGCCAGGTTAGTCTAATTTTTGTATTTTTAGTAGAGATGAGGTTTCGCTCTGTTGGCAAGGCTGGCCTAGAACTCCTGGCCTTAAGTTGATCTGCCCACCTCAGCCTCCCAAAGTGCTGGGATTACAGGCCTGAGCCACCGCAGCCGGCTGTGAGCCTTTCTTTGCATTGTCCCATGTTAGTGATGAAGAGTTTTGAGCCGGTAATCATGCCAAAGTTTAATTTTGTCATCGTGGTTTCTCTCCTCCTAGGTGGCCTATGTTCTTCAAGATTGGTGGCTTTCGTACTGGTAAGTTATGTCTGGTCTCATGTATGAAATACTTGAGAATCACTAAGAAGACTCAGTTTTCCATAGAGTAGGGGGAGAGGGTGGCGTTTGTTCATCCTTCTCTTCTAATCCTCACTTAGTTTACCCAAAGAAAAATTAGAGTGCTTGCTGGTGGAGTGTAACCTGTGGTGGTCTCCACCCATGTCTGATCCTCAGCATCATGTTCACAGACAGTTTCTGGAACTGAAAGTCGTGATTTAAATTGAATTTTTATAAGGTAGATACACACAGGACTATGTGAGCTGAGAATCATTTTCCAACATGAAGCATTTCTCTCAAATTGAGGTTCATTTTTTTAAAAAATGTGTTTATCTAGATTCCATCAATAGCTGAATATTTTTTTCTCCCCGTGTTCCATAGGGCAAACAAACAAAGTGCTCTAAATGGCACTGTAAATGGAGGAGGAAATGTAACCCAGAGGCTGGATCTTAACTGGTACTTAGGAATTTATTCAGGTAAAGTTGAATCATTTGGTCTATTATATGAGAGGTTGAGGTGCTTACAATGAGCCTGTGTGAGTAACTAGGGCTTCCAGGAGTAATTCAGTAATGTCTTAACAGATTAGGAGTCTCAGTCGCATTTACTCTGTGAATTAATTAGAATAATTATTCTAAAAATCGACTAGAAGAAAGAGGTTGAATGAAGACTCTTAATTTGCTCTGTACTGGATTTTGAAAGTTAAACCAGGATTGAGCATTCAGAAAATCAGCCACTGGAAATATGTGGCTATTGTCTATTCTAATAGGTTGCTTTAGCTAAATCTTATATCATTATACGGATGGGCAGGGGGATTAGAAACGGATCCCCACCCTGTGGTTCGGATTGTTCCAATTCTGTCTAAATAAACCCTGGCTTTTATTGAACTTGGATGAAATCCTCTGGCAGCAAGGCCCCCAAAATAAAAGCATTATTCCCTTCCAGGTATGCAAAGCTCCCTTCAGCACTGCTCATCTCTTGGGCTTCACTAATTACTTAAGAGGGAAGCTGAGCAGGGAAAAATCCAGTGTCTGGGAATTAGGACGCCTTCTATTTCTTACCTTGAGATCACAATGTTATCGCGTCCCCAACTGTGTGATTAATTTAACATTTGGCTTGCCAGACTAATATTAACGCCGTACTCTGTTTTCACAAGGGTGCTTAGAATGTATGTGGCATTACGTAGTGTTTCAAGGAAATCCTCATCTAAAATTTTAAGTATTTCCACAGGAAATGCTCATATAAGCTTTCCTCAGAGATAGAATGAGTTGTCTTTGTAAGAACCTACTCAGTGAAATTTAGTATTGATTTCATCGATCGCTTGCTAATAAATCTAAATCCATTAGGTGTTTACCTTCCTAATTGGCAGACTGTGTGAAAACTCAAGGAAGAAGGAAATCGGTTCTATTATATGTTTGTGTAGGATGGGAGGCTACAGATAATGCCCACTGATGGAGTTAGGAATTTGAGCTGCTTTCAGAGGTTAAATAACAGTGACATGTCATCGGAAAGGGAAATATTTGTTATAGAAGTAACCCCCACTGTACTGAGCATTGGGAGTTAAGAGATGATAGGAAAGCTCTTTTAATTTCTGTGTGAATAATGGATACTCATTCATGTCTCAATAAAAACGTATAATTTATTTTATTCATTTAAAAATGTCTTGTGTCTATGTAAAACATGTAGTGGGGGATTAGTTGCTTATTTAGATTAATTATCTTATATTAAAATATGATTTGTGTTTTCTTGCAATTCAATTATTCAAGAGGTTTTCCACATGCAACTTAATATGGTATTTTTAAATTCTTTAAAGCTACTTGGGCATTTTCTACAAGGAAAAGGTAAATCATTTCTCCTATTCCTTGTTAATATCACCTGTTGGTATCAAAACATACCACCTTTTTTAGATTACGGGACATAATGTAAATAATAAGATTTGGAATATGGAGAAGATCAACTATATTTCATGATTATCTATCTTACTTCTGAGTTGTTAATAGAACTTACTGTTGAATTAGGAAAGCCTAGAATGAAACTGTATTATACATCTGGTTTTTCTTTTCTGGGCAGTTTCTATTCGGTGAGAGAAAAATAAACTATTTTAATTCTTCTTCATCAGTGCATTTTATAAATATGTTATACTGTTATAGAATCCAGATACTTTATGGAATAAAATAAGTAACGTTTTTATGAACTATCTGACTTGCTTTAGCACTATTGAAGAAAATGCAGAGATATGCTGTGTTCTCTAAGTGATATTTCTTTATTTCAGGTTTAACTGTAGCTACCGTTCTTTTTGGCATAGCAAGATCTCTGTTGGTATTCTACGTCCTTGTTAATTCTTCACAAACTTTGCACAACAAAATGTTTGAGTCAATTCTGAAAGCTCCAGTATTATTCTTTGACAGAAATCCAATAGGTAAGTCTGACACCAAGTTTCTCAGTAAATATGTCTTGTTAACAACACATTTAGGATCTGATTACATTTCCGTCTTTGAAAATGGAAGGGATGCTTGGAAGAAAATCACTATGCATGTTGATTAATTTTCTACAAGATGCTTCACTGATAATATTCTACTGCCAGAGAAAATCTGAATATGGGGGGGCATACAATCTTTTATTCCAATTTATATGTGTGTGGAAAAATAAATGTTCACTTTGCAGAATGCTTTAGGAATCCATTTGCTGTGAGGCAAGCAAAGCATCCTGCATTCCCTGTAAATATGTTTAAATGTAGCTGAATAGTTGCTAAAACATTGGCCGTGTTTACATAGTGTTAGGTTATGCCATTTTTCGGAAGGATCTTTGTAAGCAGGGAGGCTCTGACGTGAGACAGGCTGTGCATTTCTTTCTTTCATTGGGAAACGTGTTCATTTCTGGAACCAGAGGGCTTTTGTACATACCCTGACTGTGAGGTTTCCCTGTAAGATAATACATGGTTAATTAAAAGCCAAGATTGGTAAAATGTAAACTCCCCTTCAAGAAAAGTTTCTAATTCTGTGGTTTTAAAGTAGACTTTTGGTTCTATCATAGAGACTTGGTTGAACCTGCCATGTAGATCTTTTGTAGCTCATTTCCTGGGTATACCCAGGTATGCTCAGTAGTTTCCAAGTATTTGATGCCTCTGCACTATGGGCTTTTGACCTGTGTTGCTTCTGAGGCCAGCCTCCCTGAGCTGGGTTCCTCTGGAGAGTTAGTTGTGTCTATATACCCTGGTCAGTTGAGTGAACTTGTGGGGAGGCCTGAGTGACATTGTGCAATGGGAGGTGTCCTCGTAGAAGCAGGGAGGTGTCCTGGAGAGAACATGGGCATAACTTTGGCCTGGCCATTGACTAGCTGTGTGACCAAGGCCAAAGCATACAGATGCTATTACACAGGCAAATCTCCAAGCAAATGTTGTAGTTCAAAGTGTGGACTCATGCTAACTGCCTGGGTTCAGTCCTGGTGCTAGTTACTAATCGTTACAGCTGGTTATAGTTACATTCACAATTCATGTCCTGGTTACAGAGTTTTTCTGTGTCACAGTTTTCTTATCTGTAAAATAGGGATACTATTCATATCCACCAAATTGAAATCTTAAGAGAATTAAGCATGTTAATACATTCCTGGTACATGGTCATTGCCTAATGAATGTCAGTGACGATGAAGCCATGATATCTCTGAACGGAATCACTTTAACTGGGGGGTGGAAATTACTCCTACCTTTTCTGTTTTTCATGAGTTTTGTGAAGATTAAAGAAGACTGTTCTAGAAAGCATCTTGTGTAGATTTATTGAACAAATACTTCTCAGTCCAAGCACCATGCAATGTGCAAGGATTTGTAAACAGCAGAGGCCACACAAATATCAGCCTGATTTCAGCTGTTATTAGAAAATCACTGGAGGACCTCTGCACTATTACAGCTGTAACGTCGCGCCACTTTGCCAGTTAATTTGAAACTACAGTCATAACGTTTGGAGCATTAAGTGGGACTGCATTTCTGTTATCACAGGCCTCGGAATGCTCATGACTACCATTAACCAGCCTCTGCATGTTCGAGACCTGTGGACTTCTCCTCATGCTGATTTATTTATTATTCAGGGATTTGGGACCCAGTCTAAATCTTGGAGGTCTCTAATCTTCCAGTGGCACACGAGTGCTTATCTGGCTTCTTCTTCCTGTATCTATTAGCACGACTTTATTTCTTCAACAAAATAGAAGCCCAAATAAGTACCCCAAAGAGAGGCCTAGTTTGTCTAAAACGTTTAGAGGTCATGAATTATTTACTTTTTTTAGTGGTAGATTTTGAAAACATTATATTGGAAAATTAAAAGATTTTTAATGGTAAAATTTTCATTTGGATAAAATTTTTGCACCTTTTACAATGGCAAAGGATACACAAAAGCTGTGAATGATGCCTCAGAATTTGTATTACTGATTGTATGTTAATGGTTTTACATATATATATTTAAATTATTTATTCAGAGATAGGGTTTCACTCTGTTGGCTAGACTGAAGTGCAGTGCCATGATCACGGCTCACTGTAGCCTTGAATTCCTGGGCTCAAGTGACCCTCCTACCTCAGCCTCCCAAGTAGTTGGGAACCACAGGCCTGAGCCACTATGCCCAGCTAATTTTTAAAATTTATTTTATTATATTTTTAAGAAATGGGATCTCACTATGTTGCCCAGGCTGGTCGTGAACTCCTGTGCTCAAGGGACCTTCCTGCCTCTCAGCCTCCACAAGTGCTGGCAGATTACAGGTGTGAGTGACTGGACCCAGCAGCTTTGTAATATAAATAAAGATTTCCCTCTAGGATAGTGAGGTAGGCATGCTCGATTTTTTTTTTTAGCATTCTTAATTAAATCTATATGTTAAATGTGTATACGTATCTGGCATACTGTTGTGCCCCATAAATTGCAGAGTGTTCTTTGAGTAGGGTAGAGAGACTGGGAAGCATGTCTGAATAGTTAGTTATTGAAAACTAACTCTTAGAAGAACCCCAGTGGAGTTTCCTATGAGCTCAGCATCCTGACATTCTCCTAGATTTTAGGGAACTTAGGAAATGGGGAGGACATCTGCCAGCATGTAGCTTCCAGTAAGCTCACCTTGGGATGGCCACGGGTACAGAAACTCTAGGTGACTCACACCAGGGGTCTGGCTGGACATCCCCCAGATCCCCGTCTCCAGTGCCCTTGTGCTGGAATATTCTCAGTCACTTTGATCTGCAGCATCTGAGTGTCTTCTCCATTATTTCATGGCTGCTCCCACCCCAGATATGCTGTCCCCCTCATCATGCTTCTGCCCAGATCCTCGTCCGTGTGACTGGGCAGAATGAATGGGCAACCTTGCTGCTGACTCTGAGAACCAGACCATCTGGAAGGGTTCCCTTGGCTGCCCAAGTTCACTTATTTGGATTTAGGGAAAAGAGGAAGGTAACCCTGGAAGGTGTATGTTTCTTCTCAACAGTGAAGGTTCTGTTTCTAAGAAGGTCGCACTTCCCCAAAGTCTAAGACATTAAGTTTCTCTCCATTTTGCACCCACCTATGGTTGCTTGAAATTTATCTTAGTTTGTTTATATAATACAATACGTTTTTATCGACTGGCCTTTCATTAACCTGATCAATCTTAAGCTAGCAGGATAAAATGAGAGCCAAACCAGTGTGCTGCCTTAGGATGACAAGAGCCAGTTTTCTTCCTTTTTCTTTTTCTTTCTTCCTTTTTGACACGGAGTCTGGCTCTGTTGCCCAGTCTGGAGTGCAGTGGCGTGATATCAGCTCACTGCAATGTCCACTTCCTGGGTACAAGCAATTCTCATGCCTCAGTCTCCTTAGTAACTGATATTACAGGTGTCCCCCACCATAACCAGCTAATATTTTGTATTTTTAGTAGAGAGGAGGTTTTACCTTCTACTGGTACTGAGATAGCAACTTTCCCCAGAAGCCAAGTACTGACGAGCAATGCAGAGTAGGGTCTGAGGGGCAACTGTGCTCTGTCTACTATTGGGAGGGGGCTGGGCCCATAGCCAGAATGGACACACATTCACCCTGGGGTGCCCACCAGTGGACTAATAGTTGGCTGTGTATGTGTGTGTATGTGTGTGTGGTAGAGTCTCACTCTGTCATCCAGGCTGGAGTGCAGTGGTACAGTCTCAGTTCACTGCAACCTCCGGCTCCCAGGTTCAAGTGATTATCAGCCTCCCAAGTAGCTGGGATTATAGCATCTGCCACCACACCCGGCTAATTTTTGTATTTTTAGTAGAGACAGGGTTTCACCATGCTGGCCAGGCTGGTCTCGAACTCCTGACCTCAGGTAATCCACCCATCTTAGCCTCCCAAAGTGCTGGGATTACAGGCATGAGCCACTGTGCCCGGCCAAGAGCCAGTTTTTCTTTCTTGTCTTTTTATCCTCCTCTCACCCATTGCTAGTTTTTATTCTTCCCTCCTTTGATGTAGGTTGGTAATGGGATCACGTGAGTCTGGCAAGAAGCCTCACGTTTTCAGCTGCCCGCAGATACCTCCTGCATATTTTGATTACGACCTGAGATGAATAGAGCATTTCAGGTATTTTCCGATGCTGTTCACTGCATTACCTCTTCCTAGTCAAAGTTTTTTGTGTGTCTTAGCCCTGTTTTCCTTCCGTTCCAATCATAGTAAGTGGGTAACACAAATTCTAGATCAAGAGTAAGTCTTCAGAAATTAAGAGAGGATTTTTATTTTAAATGTAAATCCTGTTTTCCCGGCATAGGCAGAATTCATTTTGCTTTTGATATCCAGCACAAGAGGGCAGCATGATCTGCAGTATTTCCGTGATATACCGTAAGAACACCTCATCGCAAAACCCAGTTTTTAATTTAAAGCTTTCTTGGAAATTCTAGTTGTATAGCTTGGGTCTTTGTATTTTGGATATGTGTTAATATGAAATTTGAAAAGTGATTTTGTGGTGTATTATGTTTGAAACATGAAAGTGTTTGTGGAAGACATGTTCCCGATGCAGTCCTGGAATACCTAGCACTTCAGACAGGGTTTTTTGGATTTCCCAATTATACCTTCTTGACTAGTAACTGGAATAGGCAGACGCTGACATCTTGACTGGTTGGATACATTTTAACTCCTGAAGCATACATTATGATTTGCTTGTATGATGTTTCTGTTTTCTTTGTAAGCATGAGTTTGCAGAGAAAGATAACTATACAGCTCCTTTAGTTTTCTTCGGTGCCAGCCATTAGCAGACACTTTTTACTCTTATTAGGTCTCTACAGTTTCACCCTTTGTTTTGGAGAAACGATGAGAGGTTTGTTGTCCTGTTTTCTCAGGCCTAATTGTGGTGACATCACATTTAGCTAAGTATACTGACCCTAATGCGTGCCAGATAAATGTTTGTTTACTTGCTTTCAATTAGTTAATGGCTTTAAGAAACCAAGTCACTGGTGTCGTAGAT